ATGATATTGAAACACAGTTATCAAAATACATATTTTTTTTAAAACAGAAACAAAAAACAATTTTACAAATTCCAGGTTAAAAACCTCTGTTTTAGGATCACAGATTTACAGCTAGAAGAAAGCTAAGAACCTTTGAATTCATGTTGATTTGAAAATTAATTGAAATGTCATCTATACATAACCACGTGTTATAGTGGTATGGTTTGTTTGTTTTTTTCCCTTAGGTGAATATTTTAATTCATTGGAGAGGACTGTGCCTAGGCTGGTGACAAAATCCTGTTCTACATACACACACACACACACACACACACACCCCAAAAAGGGGTGCCCAAATTTGTACACCCTGCGCCTTTGCACTCCCTCCAGCCCTAAAGAGGAAGGCCCCCCACTATGCTAGAGCTTCCAAAGTGCAACTGCCTGAGAAAGGGAGTAGACTGCAGAGCAGTGCACAGCGGGGGGGGGGGGGGGGGGGGGGGGGGGGGGGGCAGCCGGAGAAAACCCTGGGAAATGCACCATTTACACTCTCTACATCACTGCAGCCATCCTGGCCACTTTAATTCCCATTCCACTGGCCAAAAACCAGTCAAATATTGCAAGCCACAAGCAGTCATGTAGCACCTCATAGTCCAGCCCAAGGTCTCCCAAGTCCCCTATCCCTGACTGCTGTAAAGGCAAAAAAGCAGGGCCTTGAAAGGCCAGCCAGGGTTTTGTTTAAAGCATTCCCATCAACAAGTAAATACATCTCCTGTTTGTCACTGCTTGCATCTCTCCCTTCCCCCTTGTCACCTTCTCCTTTCCCTAAGTACTGTTCCCATTATTTGCAATGATTTCCACACAGGACCGTTGCTAGGCAGTCATATAGGCTATAGTACCATCATCTGGGGGTGACAGAAAAAGAGGGAGTGAGAGAGAAAAAAAAACATGAAAGGCTTGGAAAATCGGGCTGGGATGCAGGCTGCAGGCTGCTGTGCAAGTGAAGAAGCCGAGAGGAACCATCCACGGGCAATGAGAAAAAATGTGAAATTACTGCCCATTCCTGAAAGTCTTGTTTCAGTGTCTATTTCTTAGTTGCTAATGCTTTTAACAACGCAAAATGCCCTTAGAGTTTAATCGCATTTCCTTCCTGCTCCTTGCTTCCCTATATGAAGGAAGACAACACAGCCAATCTCTGACTGTAGAAGCAGCCTGTTAATTAAGGTATGAGGAGTGGTAGCAGGCTGACCCTGAAACCCTGCTGCTTCTGCTGAAGGGGGAGGGTCGTGGAGCGCCCCTGGGGAGCTGGGGCAGAAATACTATTCTGCTGTTTTGCAGGGGCACCATCTGTCTCTTGGGGATTTCTCACAAATTCGTAGAAGAGAGAGGGAAAAGAAAAACAAGGCCCATGATGGATTTGGAGTCAGCTCAGGCTGCTGGTCCTATAGGAAGGTCTGAACTATAGAGCTGGGGGAAGGGGGGGGGGGCTTGGGGCTAAGATTTGCCACCTTCCCAGAAGTTGGAACAAGAGCCAAGACTGGCCTCTTTTCTGGGAAGATTCTGCCCCCATCTGGGCAGCTTTTCAGTTCATTCATTTCAGTGGCAAGGCTTGTTGGCAGCTGTGCCTTGGCTAGCAGCCTCCCTCCTAACAGGCAGTCGTCACTAATTCCCAGCGCTGGTTCCTCTACCTCCCTACAACTCCACTGCCGGCTGCTGCTCAGCCCAGCCTGGTTGGGGGAGGGGGATTTGGCCCCACACCTCTGGTCTTTACTGGGGCTCCTCATACTCCTGCCTAAGGCATAGGTCCCTGGAACTAACTGGGTGGCACTCTCACTGCATTTGGAGCTGGGGGCTGTGATAAGCAGAGACTCCCTTCCTTATTGTTAGGCTCAGAGAGTAGAGCCCACTTAGACAAGTACCCTAGAAGAGGGGACTCATCCCCACCGACACCTTACATGGCATGAGCCTCAGTTTCCTCCTCTGTAGGATGGGTGGGTGAAATTTGAAGTACCCTGCCCACTTGCAGCACTGCCCTGTATTCAGCTCACATCCAGACATAGAAGTGCCCGCTTCCTCCCAGACTCTTGCTAGGCTCCACCTCTCCTCCCCCAAACCTGCTTGGCTCCTGGCATCCCCAATTCTGTAGCATGGTTGTCTACCCTACCCTAGCCACTGCAACTTTGCCATGGCCACTGGGGGAAGGGGGTAACTCATTTCCCCAAGATGGCCAGATACTGCACCAAGGTGTGCCCACCCAGGGCATCGTCTTTGCCAGCCGTGCCAGGCTTAGCCAATCAAAGCAAGGTGCGTGCCTTGGTACACTGGCTAAGTGTTCTCATTGGCCTCCCTAGGGAAATCCAGCCACTTTGCTCCCTCCACAAGGCCATTAGGTCACCCCTCTTTCCTTGCCAACTGTACCCCTATGAATTGATTGCTGTAAATGGTCACCTCCCTTGCCCCACAGCTCTGCCAGGTTCCCATCATCATTATTTTAGAGCTGGAAAGGCCTTTAGAAGGTATTTAGTTTGCAGCTTGCCTGCCTCCCCAACACACACACACACACACACACACACACATACACACACACACACACACAAACGATACTGGGAACCCCAAAATGGTTGAGCTTTCCCAAATTCCTATACTGGGCAGCACCTAAGCTCACCTAGCTCCTAAACCCTGCTCTTCACAGGCCCTAGCTCCTCAGGGGATTGCTATGAATGAATAGATAGCTTTTCCCTCTCTCTACTCCCCCCCTCATTTCCCTGCTTGGAGGCACTGGTTCAGCAGCCCCTAGATATAGCCCTGACAACCTGACACTCATCTGCCACCTTAGGAGGGCAGTGGGGTTCCACAAGGGACCCCTAACCAACTTCACCCCAATATTTATTAGGGGGAGAGCTCACCAGCCTCTTCCCTCAAGTTGGCAGTAGGGTTCATACTTAGGCTGGATTTAATTCTGCATTTACCTGGGTTCTCTCCAACACCAGACAAGGACAGTAAAGGACCCTCTACCACCTAGGCACTCTGAACTTTACTTGGAGAGGGTGTTTCTAACCCCCTCTACAGAGGAACCCATACTTAGGTTCCTTTTAACCCCAAGGGTAGCCTACAGAGACCCCACCACCACCAACTTTGACACCCAGACATTTACTGCCCCTCCCTTCTGCAGAGCAGCACATATTTAGACTAGGTTCATCTGGTCTCTGTCCAACCCCCTAACAATTTAGACACCCTGATATTTAACTGAGGGGGAGAGTAAGGAGGCTCTCTGTACCCCACACTCTGCAGAAGAGTTTATAACTAGGCTCTCGCCAAAGCCTGCAAGGACCCCCTACCATCTTAGACACCTGATATTTGGGAGCTCTGCCCCTCTCCCTCTGCAGAGGAGGGAATGTTTAGTGTGGCTTTAGCTAGGCTCTCTCCAAACCCTAAGGTAACCTGCAAGGACCCCCTACCAACTTAAATATTGGGGGGGGAGGGGCTCTGCTCCTTCCCCTCTGCAGAGGAGACCATACTTAGGACAGAATTAGCTCTAGATACCAAATTGGCCAGTAGGGGATTGTGACCTCTCCCCAAGTTACGTAGCCCCTTCATTTCCTGAGGGTGTTTCTGAGCCCCCCTCCCATGGGCTCTGCAGGCTTTGGCTATATTCCCTGGCTTTTGCCTGCCCAGGTCTAGGGGGGTGAATGTGTCCATTTTGCAGTCCCAGGAGTGGCGGCCACGCAGACCCTCAGAAGCTTTTCCCAGCAGTGCTGGGGAGTTGAAACAGGCACAGGAGCCAACCCCCACCAATTTGGTGTCCCGCGGGGAAGGGGGAAAGAGGGGAGAGGGGGAGGAGGGGAAGGAGCTGCCTCTGCAGCACAGCACTTCAGTCAAACACACACTTTTTCTTTCTTTCTTTTTCTTTTCTTTTCTTTTTTTCTTTTTAAAGACGCTTTTCAGACAAGCACTCTTCCTAGCCCTAGGCGAAGGAGCCTGTCTCCCAGATGTCTTCCCAACCCCAAGCCTCAGACCCCCATAGGGACTTGGCGACCCCCACTCATCCCACTTCCTGGCTCTGCACAGCTCCCCAAAGCCCTGCACTTAATTAATTTCGCCGTGTTTGGCTCTGGCAGCCCTAGGCAGGCAACTTCTCTTGCCTGCTTCCAGCCTTGGGACCCTCTAAGGACTCAAGGACCCCTTCCCAATCAAACACAGACACATTCCTGTCCTTTCCCCGGCGTCTGTTCACAGCCTGAACACTTACCTGGGCTCGGTCCTGCTCTGGACGCCAAGGAGAGCGGCTCTTCTTTGCCAGCCCCAGCAGAGCGAGTGTGGGGACCCCGGAGGAACGGGGAGGCTTTTCCAAGCCTCCTGGGGGCTAGCTTTGCAGCCAGCCGCTCCCAAGCCCCTCGGCAGCCTCACCACTTACCTGCTCGGCTCTCTGCCTCTGTCCAACCTCAGGACAGCAGCCCCCCACTCCCAGCTAGGGATCCCCAGGAACCTAAGCTTAGAGACCCCGACATTTAGTCTTGGGGAGCGTCTCTTGGTCCTAGACACCCGCCCCTCCCATCTCCCTGCATTCAGAGCTGGATTCAAGCTCCAGACACTCTGGCTGCTATGCGGACTCACGGGCCGCCGCCGCAGGCTGCGGGAATCCTAGTGGCTCCAGCCCCTGCCTCCTCTCCCTCCCTGTGGTCACCCCCGTCCCAAGCTAGCCCTGGGTCCCTCCTGAAATGGAGCTCGGTAAGAATTCCTTTACTCTGGCATTTGCCTGGCCACAGAGTGGCCGTAGAAGGTGCGGCCAGCTCCGGCCCTAGACTCTATCTCGCACCCTCCACTCCCACCCCCCAGGCTTGCTGGTGGTGTGCAGCTCTTGGGCAGGTGGGCACTAACTCTGTAAGGTCTCCTCACTGTGCCGTTATGCCAGCCTGGCGTCGCTGGTTCTCTGGAACCGGGGCTACCATAGGCATGGGGGACATAGATAGCCAAGGAGGGAGCAGGGGCACGGCACACGGGACTGCAGCGGGGTGCAGACAGCTTACCGAGGTTGCGGAGTCTGTCGTTCTTGGTCACGGCAGCGATGACAAACGAGTTGCCCACGAGGTCCATTACGATGGTGAAAGAAAGCAGCAAGGACAAGAAGCTGGTCAGGAACACGTTCTGGGGCCGAGGGGTCTTGGGCTGCCACCAGTCAGGGACAGTAGTAGTGTCATTGTGAGCCGCCTCCATGGTGGTGGAAGCTGGGGAAAGAGGAGACAGAATGAGAGCGCCGCCGCCACAGCCAGCATCCCACCCACCCAGTCCAAGCTCCCGGCCCCCAGCCGATACTCCCCGGACTCGCCCAAGTCCAGGGGAGGGCTGCTAAGTGTCTGCCGACTCCCTCAAGCTTTTGTATCCCTAAGTTCTCTCCGAAGGGGCGGCACCAAGGGTCCGTCCTGGGGAGGGAACTTTGCCTCAGTCTTTACCTGCTCACCACCCGCTCGCCTGAAGACGCTCCCACCTCCAGCTCTGGAGCGCTCGAATTTCCCTGGCACTGAGCTTTTGTCTCCAGGGCGTGGTGCCCAATGGCATGTCGGTGTCAGAGAAGCGAGAGCTTAGGAGCTCTCTGGCGGCTCCCCTACAATCTGGTGCCTCCCGAGCCCTCTGAAAGGCAGAAAGGCTACTGCCGCCGCCGCGCACTTGCGCGGATGCCAGAACCCCTCAGACAAGCAGTGCCGCCTGCACGGAGTGCGGGCTCTTGAGCCCTCCCCCTGCCAAGCGCAGCTGCTGCTTACAGAGTGCGGGCTCCCGAGCCCGTAGGAGGAGCGCAGCCGCCTCACACAGAGCGCCCAGAGAGTCGCCAGGGCAGTGTTGGGGTCCAGAGCCCTCAGGAAGGGCGGTGCCGACTCGCAGAGTGCCAGGGCAGTGCAGGAGTCCAGAGCCAAAGGGATGGACATTGCCGCCGGCGCGCAAAATGCCAGTGCAATTCCAGGGCACTATCGGGGTCCCGGAGCTCCCAGGAAGGGTGCTGCCGCCTTGCACAAATTACTAGAGCATTACCGGGGCTCCGGAGCTCCCGGGATGGACACTGCCTCAGCGCATCTCGTACCAGAGCAATGCTAGGGTACTGCTGGGGCTCCGCAGCCCCCACAAAGGGCGCCACTGTGCACAAAGTGCCGGGTCTCTACCAGGACTCTGGAGCTCCCAGGAAGGGTGCTGCCATGGTTCTTAAAGAGCCCGGGGGGGGGGGCTCCTAAGCTTCTGGGATGGACAATGCCACCGCTCATAAAGTGCGGGGACACTGCTGGGACGTCCGAACCTCTGGGAGGGAAGTTGCTGCCGAACATAAAGTGCCGGGGCATTGCTGGGGCTCCAGAACCCCAGGAAGGGCGCTGCCACCTAGCACAAGGTGCCAGGGCATGGCTGGGACTCCCAAGTCCCCGAGAAGGTGCTGCCGTTTCCCATAAAGAGCGCATAAAGTACCAGGGCATAGATAAGGGAAGTTGGAGCCCGGGAAGGGAACCTGGAACCCGGGAAGGGAACCTGGAGCCCGGGAAGGGAACCTGGAGCCCGGGATGGGAATCCGGAGCCTGGGAAGGAAATCCGGAGCCCGGGAAGGGAATCGGGAGCGGGAGAAGGGAACCTGGAGCCCGGGAAGGGAATCGGGAGCCCGGGAAGGGAATTGGGAGCCCGGGAAGGGTGCTGCCGCCAAGCATAAAGTGCCAGGGCATGGCTGGGGCTCCGGAGTCCCCCGAAGGAAGCTGCTGCCTTGCATAAAATGCCAGAGCATTGCCGGAGGACCTGGAGCCCCCAGGAAGGGTGCTGCAGCTGTTCCTGTACCGAGGAGAGTCCGAGATCAGAACAGAGCTCAGAAAGCATATGGAGACCAGACTTCGTTGCCTTGCTCCCACTCCATCCCCCAAATTCCTGGCTTGTCTCAGATCCAATTGTGGGGGGATCCCTGGACTCCTCTTCTCCCTCCACTTCTCTTTCCCTTTCTCCCCATAAGGAGGAAGAGGAAGAGAAATCTGGTCACTTATCCAACAACAACAACAACAAAAATCTGGGTTTCTTCACCTCCCTACCCTCACTCCCACCCCCCACGCCCCCACCCCACCCCACCCTCCCTGCCAGTCCCTCTCTGAAGCCACAGTCAGGGATAGTCCCCACTACCGCTATGCCGCAGGCAGGCAAAGTGCTGCTGGTTTAGCTGAGCTCTGGAAAAATCCCCCGGCCCAGACCTCCACCCCCGAGCCGGCTGGCAGTCCCTTGCCACAGCCTCGGAGCTTACAGTAAGGGTTGTAATCCCTGGAGGCAGCGCCCTCCTGGCCAGCAGCGCCGGTCACCGCAGGCAGCAAGTCCCCCAGCAGCCGAGATGCGTTCGGCAGAAACATCGCTGCTGAACTGAGTCGGCCGAGGTGGCCGAGCTTTTATAGCAATCTTTACCACCTGACTTCCGACGTAACACCTACGACATCAAAATTAATGACAGGGGCAACCTCCCAAACACCTGTAAGCACTTAAACCCCCTTGGGAGACCTTTGGCCACCCCCCTTTTGGCAGAACTGACTACGGAGTGCCTACAATAGCCCCAACTCCCTTTACACAAAGTCTGAGTGGCAATCCTAGCCCAGGCCTGAACTCTTAACAGCAGGAAGCCTGTGCCTGGTCTTTAAATAGGCATCTCGGTCACCCAGGGCTGGAGGAGTCAATGCAATCTGGCACATCTTAGCTAGTCCAGCAGCTTAAATGGTCTAGCTCGCAATGTTCAAAGGGAACTTCCAAAGGCCGTGAGAGGATTCGAGGGGAGGCAGCGTCCCCCTCAGGCTAATGAGCCAGGCATTCACACCTCCCCAGAACAGCCTGCACCTTCGCATTTAAGCCCTCTCTCTACGTTTTTGGTTCCACTCACTTTATTCCTGGTACCCCGAAGCTATCCACAAAGTGCAAAGCCCTGCCCACATTGATCCACGTCCAACTGCAGGTGGTTCGCTAAACATCCAACGTTCGTCAACCCCCCCCATCCCCACCCCATAACTTTTACCAGATCATTAAGTAATTGAGGTAGGGATCGACAGATTTCAGATGGAACGCAATCCTCCTAAGGTTAGGGAGCTGGTCTCTAAACTGTTTAAGGCACCGAGAGCCAAGAGTCTTGAGCTTCATCAGTCAGTAGGTGCCAGAGCTTGAATTCAAACCCTGAACTTCCCGAAGCTTCAAGCACCCTCCATCCAATGTGTAAACCTGAAAGTTCTCTGGCCCACTCCCAGAAAGGAGCATGGTGATGTACAGGGTGCAACTCCCAGAGAGCCCAGAAAATCATTTCCACCTTTACTTGGAACTCATTACGTGAATGAAAAAGAAAAAAATTCCTACCCCAATGGATAATTTGTCCTTTTTCATTCCCAGACAGAAACCTCAACTGCCTGGGTGAGCAAGGAGTCCCCCAAATACTGGGTGGCCCCAAAGTGACCCAAAATAGTTCTTTCAATTAAGAATTGCTTCCTTTGATCTTAAAACTTTTTTTTAATACTCACAGATTTTTAAATTTAAAAAAATTCGGTCACTAAAAAAAAGTTAGGGCCTTATTATAAGGACTTGGGGTGGGCGGAGTGAGGGGGAGATCTTAGAAATAAAGTCCAATTCCCTTTTATTATTTGCTTAATTATTTTTAATGTGACCACAGATTTTCTGAGAAGATAGGGTTGGCCAGAGTTCATGGGATTATAGGCCTAGAGCTGCAAAGAGACATTAGACAACATTGATTCCTACCCCACCCCTTTTACAGATGATGACAGTGAGGACCAGAGACCTTAAGTGATTTTTCCAAGACACACAGCAAGTGGCAAAGCAGAATTTTAAAACTAGATCTTCTGGCTGAAGATTCAGCTCTCTTTTGACTCCACCACAGAACACAGAGGTGAAAAGGATCCTGGGACATCATCTAACATGACCCCCCACTATTGGGAGTGGGTAGGGGTTTTTTGTTTTGTTTTGGTTTGCTTTGCTTTTTGCTTTTGCTTTATAATTTTGAATTACCACAAATTAACCAGAGTTAATAGGGTCATAATTTTAGACCTGTAAGCAACCACACGAGAAATTTAGTCCAAACTCCATATTTTACATGTAAAGAAATTGAAGACCAGAGAGGTTATGAGTTGGCAAGCATCACACAGCAAATTATGGAAGAATGGGGTTTTGGGGCCTGGGACTTCTGGCTTAAGATCAGAGTCTTGGATGTGCCACAGATGTTACAGCTTGAATGTATCTTAAGGCTAAACCTATTCCAGCCCCTCCATTTGATTTTGTTTTGTTTTATTTTATTTGCTTAATAAAAATTTTATTACCAAAAATTAGATAAAGTGATTTCATCAGCCAGAATTTATAATCTCAGTTTTAGAGCTAGAAGAGGCCTGAGACAACATTTAGTCCTACCCCCACATTTGACATAAGGGGAAACTGAGGACCAGAGAAGTTAGATGACTTGTCACACAGCAAGTAAAGAGGAGAAGAGGGTTTTTCAGGCCAGATTCTTTATCTCTGGCTCCAGTCTTTCTGCTTCCTTAAATCATCTATTCCAGCCTGCTTTCTAAGAGATTAAAGAAAAGGCTAATTTAAAAAATGTTAGTGCCAATTTTCAAGGGTGATTGAATTGGCCAGAGTTCATAGGCTCACACTTCTAGAGCTGAATGGGGGGGGGGGTCTTAGAAAACATTAGCTGTACTCCCTTATTTTATAGGTAAGGAAACTGCAGAACAGAGAGGGTGAGTAACTTGGCCAAGATTACACAGCAAGTAAGTAGCAACACAAGGGTTTTAAGCCCTGGTCCTCTGGCTCTAAATCCAGTTTTTCCCATTGAACCAGAGGCTTGAAAGCAAGACTGTTGTGGAGAACCTCTAATACAATCAGGAATATTGATATTGTTTTTCTTTTTCTTTTTTTTTTCTGTCTTGCTAAATAATTTTTGTTATTGCCACAAGTTAGCAAGAGTTCCTAAGATCACAGTTTGGGAGCTAGAAGTGGGAAGAGACCTTGGGATCATCTGGTCTAATCTCATTTTAGGTGGATTCCTCTTTTTCCTAAAAGCCTTTTAATTATTACTGTAAATTCACTAGGAGGACTTCATTAGCCAGGATACAAAGGATCACATTTTTGGAGCTGATGGAGACCTAAAGAGTCAAGAAAATTAAGGTCCCTCAGAGAGGTTAGAAGACTTGTCCAAGATCACACAGCAAATTTCTGAGTATGATTGTTGTAACCA